CCGGACCTCATAAGCCTAACAGTCTGGACTAAGATACAATGGACTGTGGGATAGGGGAGTTCTAATTGCTCTGGATACAAGTGTTTTAATGACTTCACCAACCCACTGTCGAAACAGCAAAATTAAACCAAGCAAACTATGTGTTAACTGACTTAATTTGAAGACTACATGGCTAAAGGTAAGTTGAGCATTACTCTCATACTGGGTGTGACTGTTGACAATGTCACTCCAAAACCATTTTAGACATTTATATACACAGTTTGTGTTTGAATTCTGCCCAAAAGTGTTGAGGTCGGTACTCTGCGCAGGCCAGTCAAGTTTTTCCACGTGAAAATGGGAAAACCATTTTGGTACAGATTTAACTTTGTGCATGGGTGGAAACAAAAGCCTTACAAAAGAGAGAAATCCCAGCAGTCAAAAATGCTGCATTGAAGAGCAGCTTACAGTTTCATGATACTGTGCTTGATCGAAAGACTGTTAATACCATTTCATATGTTTTACCTGTCAAAGGTCGTTATCACTGAAGACATTTCGACATATCAGAGTAGAAAAAGCACAGACTTAAATAATAATATTAATGATTCTGATTCCTGTTGTAGGTTCAGGAACCTGGGGTTGTTGCTGCTGGCTCTGAGTCACACTGTTATGACTTACTGGGACTCTAAACTAATTTTATTAATAACATTTTTGTTTTTTCTACTATGGAAATCAAAGTGTCTGCTGTGATAAAAGTCTATTTTTTTTTAAATCGTTTTTTAATGCACAATTTATTAATATGTATGCAGGACTCACTGGAAATGCTGATGAGTAGATTATCTCAGTAGAATAAAAATAACTTCTATCCCAACTTGTTATAAAGTTTAAGGCACACTATTTGCAACTGCAGCACCCAGGTTTAGCAATGAAAAACTGTCCCATAATAAGTAACAAACCAATGTAGGTTTCCAAAATGAGTTATCAAGCTAAAAGGATATGAAGGATTTTTAGTCTTAGTCTAGATGTAGTATCCTGAGTAAAGGGAACCAAAGTACTACGTTATTTGCTATTGTTGCATGTCACCTGTCAGTCTCAGGTGAAGCCTGCATGTATCAGCCAGCGTGACTTGTTTTCGATAGCGGTGTCAGGGACATCTGTGGGGTTTTTGTAGTGTTGGAAAAGGAGTCTGGAGTAGAGCTTTAGCTGTCAGATTAAAGGTTAAAGGTTAACCTTACAGGGTAGTGAGTCAGACTGGAAGTAGCCTTAGCCTAGCTCCTTTATTTTAGCCTTAACTATTATTAACGTTATACTTCAGAGTTATCTAAGCATTATTTATTCAAAGAAGACGTGGTAATATAAGGATATCTTTCTATAGCCCTCTGATGGGGGACTGCAGTGTCCTAGCAACACCAGTGAATCAAACATTAAACGTAACGTTAGCTAGCTTAATAAGCTAACAACAGTTAGCACACGGAGCTAATGGAAGCTAGCACATTTAGCCCACTACCTCGAAGGAAGCCTCCAGTTCGTCCACCAGCGTGTTGTTTCCCGGAGGTCTGGTAACGGTACCGGGGAAACCCGGCTGGCCCGGTCCACCGGGACCCCCGACAGGATGCGCACCGGGCGGCTGCTGACCGGAGAACATCCCACTCATGGAAGATGCCATTCCGACCTGACCGCTTTCAGTCGACCCCTCCGCGCATGCGCAAAGAGAGTGCTGTTGCTATGTGAGCTCTTTTTGCCAAATATATGTGGACAGCACTGTTTGCATGTTTTTGTTGATCTAGGATTGTTTTTCCTGGTTTGGCTGGTTTCAGTAAATATTTCAGACCAATGGTTGCCAACCTGGGGTCATGACCACATAAGGACGAAGAAAGAAAACATATTAAACAAATTTTAACATTTCAATGACTCTTCTTTTTTTCTGCAAGTTTCCTGTGTATTTCTGTATTTCTTGTTCAACAGTCACATAATGCTGTGATGTTTGGGATTTCACATACTTCTGGCCAAGTAGTGTGCATCCATGTTGTGTTGAAAACAAGGCAAAAGCAATAACAAATGTGTCCCACACATAATTACAGTCTTATTAAGTTTAAGGGGTGCAAACTCATCAGGGGTGAAAAAGGTGACAAACATAAGAACCTCCTAGGGGAGTTGACAAACAAATTTTTGATGGTCAAGTGATTTGGTAGATGTGATCCTGATTGCCATTTTGACCCATTTTGGATTTAAAGCAAAATTCATGGTTGAAATGGCTATATGTAGCACAGGTAGATGGACCTGCCTGCTTGGCATCACTGCCTGACGCACCTCCGACGGTGCCTTTGCGCCAGCTGCAGGGTCATCAGCCGGGAGCCACCCTTCACTGATGTTTTACTCCATTAATCCCGTAACATATCTGGGTAGTGGAGCAGCGATAGGAACGTCTCCCTACTGCTCCCTGCAGCTGGCCCTAAGATCCCTGTTTCCCCCACTATTTGTCCTTCCTGCTAAGCCAGAGCCAGAAACTCCCCTGCTCTGCCTCCTCGGCAATGTCCCTGATGGCCCTCTTCAGCTTGGCACCTCTAATGCCCAAGGACTTAAAGAGGCGCTGGGCTGATGCTCCTGTGTAGCCTCTGCTCCCAACCTCCACTGGGAATGTGAACGCCCTCCACCCAGCTTGTGAGCATGCAGCTGCCAGCTCTGCATACCTGTCCTTCTTCCTCTTGTAGGCAGCCTCCATTCCATCCTCCCACGGGATGGTCAACTCGATCATGAAGACCTTTTTGGTGAGGGAAGACCAGATGACGATGTCAGGTCTCAAGGAGGTTGAGGTGATCTCCTGAGGGAACCTAAGCAGCTGGTTGAGGTCAGCCATTATGTTCCACTCCTCTCCAGGAGTCATGAGGGACCAAGCCCTAGCGGTGTTGGACAGGCCCTGGTCTCCCTGTCTAACAAAATGGATGCGTCTCTGTGAAGGTACTGTGCTGTCCTTATTCACCTCAAGCCTGTGTGCTTCCAGGATCTCAGCGATCTTTCGCTGAATATATTTTGATTAAAATCTAACTAAAATATTATTTTAGGAATAATAATATATTTTGTGTATTACTGTAGCCTAAAGAGCATTTCATGATATATTTCTAGATTTCTATGCAAGTCTAAGAGTGCCTAGACCTAGACCTAGACCATTTCATCTAATTTTTGACATTTACAAAGCTCTCCAAATGCCTTTTGACATAGCTGTGGAAATTAATCGCAAAGTCACTTTTTTGCTATAGGTATTTTTTCTCAGCCAGGTATATTCTCTTCTCACCTGTGAAGACCCTGCATGATCATCCTTGCTGGTCTCTGGTCCACTGTCTCCTCCCTGACCCTGCTCTTTCAGTCAAGCGTCTCTCAGTTCACTTGAAAAGTCACGTCCTCCCCAGCGCGTGAAACAGCTAAGCTTAGCTTAGCAAAAGGACTTAAAACAGAGGAAAACAGCTCTGACAGATTTTTCAAAAGCGGAAAAATGAAAATGAAAAAGGCACTTTTTATTTTGTTTTTATCTGAAATGAGCTTTATGTCACATTTAATGGTAGATTTACATATTTACATTTTTTTGGACTCAGAATTCTCATTTTCATTTTGGCAATTATATGCATTATCAAACCTGAAAATAAAAATGGAGCTGTTAACACGTTTTTTGACATACATCATGTGCTCACAGACAGCAAATGAAATCTTAATTTCAGTAAATGATTTTATCTTAATAGTGGCAGCCCTGGACTTCCATATTTTGTGTTAATTCTTGAGGCATCAGTATCTGGTTTGCTTCAGGGTGGAAACAGGATTTCAAAAACCCAAATGAAACGATCAGAAAAGCCAATAACAGTCCAATGAAACTGGTCAGATCCCAGTACAGATCTGGTTGACCATTATGGATCCAAACTATCATCTTAGTATTTTTGCACTTCAAAGGGTGTTGGAAGACTGGAACGATGCCTCCTAAATCTGTGGAGCATCTTCTTATGAAATCATATGTACTAGTGCAGTGCCCGTAGTAAGCATATATTTTGGTTAGGAGGCGTCAGTTGAAAGATGATAGGCTGCACGTGTCTGTGATTGATATGGATACAGATTGAGGTGTATATGTTTAATCAGTTGTTGCTTATGAAGTTGTTGTAATGTCTTGTGTTTGGCTTTTAGCAATGACACTGTAGGGAGCTGAACCCCATTTTACTAATGTGAAAGTACCACTACCAGTATCTTTTTTGATTTGTCATTGGGAAAAGTGTAAACACAAATGGAACATCAGTCAACTGAGTGAACAGATATTGTGTGGAAATGTATGGGAAGGTATTTCCAAAGATGAAATTAATTAAAGTAAAAAGTGAAAAAGGTGAAATTTAGAGTTTATTTTATACAACATATAAATTATGCACACTATGTAATTATTACAGCGCTTCAGGTGTTTTTTAGCTGATTCAAACAGCATGGAGAGACAGTGAACCTGTTCTATATTGTGGCTTCTTCACTGACGCGTTGGCTGTATGTAAACATCACAGCCGTCAGATTGGTTTAAAGAAACAACAGCTATGAATCACTGCCAACATCTTCAGAGCTCCTCCATGGAAATGATTAAGGATAGACCGATACATCGGCCGGCCAATATATCGGGCCGATATTTGAGTTTTTTACTTGTATCGGCATCGGCCAATACGTGCGTGGGTTCGCGGATTTCAAAGTATGTGGTTAAGTTGAACAAAGCTGTTGAATCCTACTGTGTACAGTAGTTGTTGTTTTATTTATGCTTCAGCTTAAATATTTGTTTATTTTATAAAGACATTACTGGAAGATTTAAGAACACTGAACTCTTTTTTTATTTTAATGTATAATAATAATAATAATAATAATATTCTACCTGTTCTACCTCAACTTTCCATCTTGTTTTAGTATTTTTTACTGTTCAATAAATGTTTCTTATTTTAAACTTGAGACCTGTAATATTTGTTATCATTGTGTCATTTTTTTTTTTATGTAATTTGAGGGAGCAAAAGCAGTATCAGGCCCCAAATATCGGCTCAAGAAAATCGGCAGTCCATAATCGGTCATCGGCTAAGGGTGATGGAAAAAAAAATCGGTATCGGCATCGGCCCTAAAAAATCCATATCGGTCTATCCCTAGAAATGATACTGTTCAAATGTGCACAGATGTCTAAACTTGGCCACTGATAAGAATTTACTGTTTGTCTGAAAAGAAGCTCACAGTCAGAGAGTCCTGTGTCCGATCTGATATCTGTGTCAGCCATTGTGGGCCAGTCCCGCAGCAAACTCAACCAGCGTACGTGTTGGTCTTCCAGACATGCCTTTTCTTAGGTAGGGAATTTCATCTTTGTTACTCATCACACCTGCGATGTCCAGATGGGCCCAATGAGGAGCTGTGACAAACTCTCTTAGGAATGCAGCTGCTGTGCAAGCACCGCCAGAACTAGAAAGATAATCAACAGACAGAGCAGTGAGACTCAAGGAAATGAAGCCATGAGTATGCTCCTGGCTTTACTAATTAACTAATAACGAACATGCTGTTATCAAAATGTCCCTGTTTATTCTCATCCTCAAATAAAGGCAAAATGAGTAGAGAGTTGAAACACTGATCAGCATTCATTTAGTTTGCTAAATGCTAATCGTGTGATTCCAGATGGGCATAAATCTCATTTTATGTTTGTTCCTGTGTTGTTACAGGTGTCATAGAGTGCTACAGAGATGAGCCCTAAAACCCAGAAGATAGTTAGCATTTTAGCACTTCTGACTCTCTCGTCTCAGAATCAATGGGTTTCTTGGTTAGATGCCTGGAATAGGGTCTGTGGTTAACACAAGCATTAGAGACTTTCACGTTTTGTTCTACCACATAAAAAACATCAGTAAATACTCCACTCATAAATTTCAAAGCTTTTATGTGTCTTAAAAAAGGTGGTTGCTAATAACTGGGTAAATGAGACTACAGGGTGTTCTCACGCCGAACACGGCTTTACAGTCTCTGACCAGGGTGTAGTTCATTTATAGCCTAACTTTATCTTTTTGCTTCTGAATACTGCACTTACACTTCAAAAATGATATAAGTGGTGGTAATTTGTAAAGATTATCCCGCTGAACAAATCGTGTAACTATCATAAACTTTTCAGAAACTGTCCTGCTCTCTTTTCCTAAAATGATTTTTGCCGACTACCATCTGCCTGATTTCATGTGAGTGCTGCCTAAGTAACTCTTCATTATAAAAATATTACTGTCAGTATTACACCAACAGTTTGTAGTGATTTTACAATAACCTGCACGTTCTTATCTAAAATTATAATTATATCAATACTCCTTTATTGTAAATCAAAGAAAACAAGCACTTCACTACCTGAAAATTAGTTTAGTTCAGGAGTTCACCTTGAAACGTCCTGATCACGATCCAGCTAACTGTCAATAAGCTGCATTTCTACAGCTTTAAGGCTTAAAAACGTGTTCCTTTGACAACAGCTCCAGAGGAGTTTTAAACAAAGAAATCCCAACTCATAACACTCAAACTGATCTGGATGCCTCAGTTATCTACATACTAAGAAGTGGGCTCTGTACTCCCCTGATGTCTGGAGCAGGAGCTGCAGGCGCTCCCTGGCTGTAGTAAGATACGTACCGGCTGTACTTCCCGATGTTGTTGAGGTCAGCCAGCTGGCTGTCAGTCACTTGTCTGGTGTAATGCTGGAACAGAGGCATCCGCCACACTCTGTCACCTGTCACAACACTAGCCTACACACACATTTACACACACACACACACACACACACACACCATTAGTCAACACAGAAGCTGATGGACTGAGGCGCTGTGAGTGTGTTCACTGTGCACACACAGTACCTTGTGCAGCTGCTCCCAGAGCCAGTCAGAGTTTGTAAACACTCCAGTTGCTGCTGAGCCAAGAGCTACATCCATGGCACCTTGGAGACAGAAGGAGACAAGTTTTCATTTTTTCTATTTATATCGTTCATTTCATCATGCAACATTATAAGCCCTGGGTGCTTTCACACCTGCAGTCACACTAAGTTCTAACTAGTAAACCAACCTGCAAACATGAACTCATATGGAGAGACAACTTTTGGTTTTGGTGACTGTCATCTTGCTGCACGTTATACGGAAAACATGTGATTAGCGATATGACTGTTGTTACTTGCGATAAGTAAACAGTTATTAAAATGTACTCAGTTTTGCCTCTCTGTTTTCAATGTATTTCTAAAATACAACAAATTGTTTGTTGAATTAAACAAATGACAGGAAATTACTTCCCCCATTCTTTTACTGAACAAATTGAACATTGAACTGAACACAAAAGGCAAATAAATAATAAAAACAGTTACATTTTCATAGAAGTTTTCTACTGATACTCTACTTAAACTAACTCAGAAAAGCCCTGAGTGGAATATTGCAGCCTTTTGCAATGTGTTTATCGCACAAGTTGACATTGCGATGATAAATTAAAAAAAAGAAAGGAAAAAAAAAAAACAACGACACATTGTGCAGCCCTAACATGGACCCACATGGGGAAATCAAATTCCAGTGAGTTACAGCAAGTCATGCTGCAAAAAGAAGAGTATGACCATAGACTGTACTACTACTGTCACTACTGTGACATAACACATTTGATTGTGGACTCCCATTTTGAAGCCTTGAGTTTGGTATTTTGGCCGTCGCCATCTTGGATGTTTGGAGCCACAAGTGACACAATTTGGGTGAGAGGGTGGAGATAACCCTAACATTAGCTGCTAGCTTGTTTAACACTGTGCATTTACAGCTATGGTTAACTGTGATTAATGCTAATGCTAATGCTAGTTTTCACTGTCTACAAACAGGCTTAAATTGTAGTTGTACTTACTGGAAAAACTGAACATCCGACTCCTTAGAGGGTCTTTTCGTACAACCAAACACTACAAAAGACTTTTTTTTGGCGACTCAAATGTTACAATTAACTTTCTTGAATTTAAAAAAAAACACTGAAATATCGACAAATGCGGCTGCGCCTTTGTGAATCTGGGGTTGTTTATGTTACTGACAAATGTTGTCTCTGTGGTAGCAACTTGTCAACAGATGGCGGCCACCTGTCACTCAAAGCAGCCACACCCTTAATTATATGTCAATTTAAGCCTCAATAAAACTTAAATACGTGCGTTTTATAAAAACTCACCCCCTGTTCAGTTGTCTAGAGGGGGGAAATTAACTATAGAGACCAAATCTGTTTTTGTACCAGGCTGTAAACCTGTTTATTTACGCTGTAAAGTTGGTCATTTTAACATGGGGGTCTATGGGGATTGACTTGCTTCTAGAGCCAGCCTCAAGTGGCCATTCAAGGAACTCCAGTTTTTGGCACCGCATTAGCATCACTTTACAGTCCCGGAGGCTGCCGCTTTGAAATGACATGCATCAAACGTGCCCAGCAGGTTTTGAACTGGGAGTGTCACAGTTATACTACATAACATATTAACCACTAGACCAGTGGATCTTTCACAGCAAATATTTTGACTTGTCATAGTAGGAGAAGCACAGGTGAAACTGATAGCATTAAAGATAATTTAGTTCCATTGGGTGTCACAGTAAGCTGTCACAGTGAGCCAGCATGTACAACACCAGGCTCTCTTCTAAATGGAATGCAGCTGTAGTTAATGTTGTTAAATACTCCCACTATGACATGGCAAAATGTCTGCCATGAAAAAGGTTTTTTGAACGCCCAAGACACCTCTGTTTTAACTCCTTTTTGCTTTCTAACATATCAGGGAATTCCCACACTCAGTTCCTCATGATTCTGCATAATAACATACACTGTGTGTACAGATCATTTCCTTGACTCCTCGTTTCTTCCTCGTAAACCAGTTTTTAACACAGTCTCAGTCTGGTTTTGTGGTCAGCAACAAAAGCTCAAATTACAGAAAACAGAGTTCGCTCTAATCGTGCCAAACAAAAATCGAAGTCAAAGCCATACTCATGACATATGTATGACATAAAGATAAAAACATCAGTTGTTTTTATCACCAATGTCATTGTTTAAATAAATTAAGTGAAAAATCCCACCTGTTAGCGTAGCAACGTTGACAATGGCTCTGGGGTTGAACGTGTGTCCGTAACATAGTGCATCAGCAAGAATCAGTCGGCCCTCTGCATCTGTATTATCAACCTGCACAGAACAACAATGACACTTGTTCATCTGTATACACACACACACACATAAGCGTACAAACACACCACACTCAGGTAACTGTTTGAAACTTTCAGGTGCCATCATGGCTGCACCCACCTGGATTGTTTTTCCATTTTTGGCTGTGACAACATCACCTGGTTTGGTAGCTTTTCCACTGGGCATGTTCTCACACAGCGGAGCTAGACCTGATTTATTGTAACAAGTGGAAACAGGCAGGTGAAAGAGATTTGTCTTCACTTAAACATTACAATAAGTTTGTGTATATA